TACAACTGCATAAATCGATATGTTATGATTTTAGGACACCGGGATTCTCACTGTGTGGCTTAGATAACCCACTACACAGAAACAGAAATGCTGATTTCATGATGCGTCCGTCTGGAACACTGAGTGATCATGAGTTCATAGGCACTGGCGGCCTTAACACGCTACATCTGTGGTTGAAGTATACTCACCGCCAAAAGAAACATTTAGAGAAACGTGTACGTTAAGAAGAGATGTTTGTACCGATTAACGACAAAACTAACAATCAGTCAAGCGTTACCACTGAGTGAGTTCATTCTTATCACAATGTGTTGCACGTGATTTCCAAACTTTACACGCTTATCCTGCACGAGACAGATTTATGCATCTCGAGTAACGGATCTGTGGGGTCTCATGCGATGCGTTCATGAGCATCGGTTCACGCAACATACTAGTATGTCCGTTTGAGCATCGAACCAATCTAACATCTCTTGTATATGAGTCTTCATAAGTCTTTATGTATTTTCCAAAATGTACGGTATTCGCGTTTCTTTTGGCGGTGAGTATACATGAAACAGGATCCGTTTCACGATGTTCTTTGACTAAAGTGTCATCTCAAGTTTGCCTCGTGGAACCATTCTCTGGAGTCACGTCATCCCATCACAACTGCGTAGATCGATTTTCAATATGCCAAAAATCATTTGATTGTCTGGTTCAGACTTAATTATTAACAGACCGCCGTTATACAGCTGGAGCATTGTGAGGGCGGCGTTAAACGATACACAAACACAACAAAACCTATTTGACATGAAATAAACTTTGGTTTATGCTACTGGCAGAGAAACAAACATAAAACATAAACAACAGTTCCGTGTGTCGAGTGGGCTGCTATTTATGATGCAGGATAAATAACAGTTATTGAAAAAGTAATCCGCCACTGTATACATATCAAGATCGTGAAAAAAACAGTACTTGGCAACTGACGCCATATAGCGTTAACAATGACGTCGTAACGTTACCGAGGTTAACCATAAGTACTGTCAAAGTGACCTGGTCATGACAACCATTGTCTGAATGAACACTTTATTACAAAGGTCATTTACCATTTAGTCATGCCACTTATGTGTTTAGCAAAATCACTCAGCTGCCATGCTAACTCCCATTTGTTAATCGTCACTGTACATGCTCTGTCACCCACCCTGACGGAACAGTGCTACTATGTTTTTTACAATTGTTTAATATGTTTATGACTTAACCCGTGTCAGATGACCTTGGCAATATAAGTCTTTAGATTGAGTCAGTAAACAAAGAGACAAAAAGGCAGGTCTCACCTTTGGCCTAGCTAGGGTCAGTGTGTATGATTCTACTTCGCTTTTAGCAATATTCCAGCAATATCAAGGCGGGGAACCGGAGTGAGTGAGTTGGGTTTTAACGCCGCTTTTTACAGTATTCCAGTTATATCGCGGCGTGTCAGCTTAATGTGGGAGGAAAGCCCGAAGTGATGCAGGTATCAGACGTTTACCACTTCGGTGAAACACACAAGCACGGGTATGGTGCTGACAAACCTAGATGCATAATCAGGGGGAACCGGGATTCGAACCAACAAGCATAGGTTTCTGGCGTGCCCAAGGGACGCAACTCTGCATAGCGAATCGCGGCGCCTTTGACGACTGGGCCACCCGTGCACCCGCGGGGAACCAGAAATTGGCGTGACTCATTGTACACATGTTGGGAATCGAAACCCGGGTCTTCGGCGTGACGGGTGAACGCTTTAACCACTAGACTACCCAACCGTCCCTAGCTAGGACTAGGTGTTCCGGGGAACCAACACCACCACTACTAGCAGAATGTGCTGTCCTGGCACATAGTGCTTCTTATGTGTATTTACTTGTATATAGTCAGTAATTGTATCTACGGGAAGCTATCGACTTGAAGTCTGTTTTCTACCTCGGTTCTCCTTGGTTATGATACAGCTGAATGTAAGATTCAACACAGCGCCAAACATCTCACTCACTCACTCACTCACTCACTCACTCACCCACCCACCCACACACTCACTCACTCACTGTTATATCGACAGCATGATGTCCGTAGAGCAGGGCATGCGGACATCTGGCGTCATCACTGATTTCAGTGATCCATTCTTATAACTTTCACCACAATTTTTCCTTTTACGCCCCATGGAGTCTGTTTCTGAGGATAATCGTGAACGATTATTCTCTGGTGTTTACGCTTTATATTAAGAACTTCAAAAGGATGTAATTTAGTCAGAACTTCAGTTAGCAATGAAGTATGGCTTATAATATTGACAACCCTACGAACGTTAAAGCTTCAAACAGCCGGGCGTATGTCCGAACTTCATACAGCATGGCGTGCGACAAATGTTATTTGGCAAGAATGTTAATTTCTTTTATTTATTGTTTCCAGAGAAGCATATTTTTCTTCTACCATTATTCAGATAATAATAACGTACTAGTATTACATTCATGCATAAAAACACGATTTCCACGAACGCCTGAATAAATCCTGATCTGAACGAGCAAAACAACAATACATAATGTAAAAATAGTGCGTGTATATATCGATTTATGAATATAAAGTTATATATTTTACATTTCCATTTTTAACAAACATAACGATTAGCATATGCAGACACGTGTGTACATCTATCAATCACAGACCATGATTCGCTCAAAATGTATTGTTCTAACATCTGCTGATACAGAATCTGAAACCTTGTTGTAATAATCGGAACAAGCATTCTCCTGTGTTAATAGATAAGTAAAAAATGAAAACAAAATGACACACACATTTTAAAAAACATGTGGTCTGATCTGACACCGCTTCGACGTATGGTTGTAAACACGTATAATCACTGATCCTATTGATAGTACTAAATGAACTTGTAATGAGTCGTCGGTAAACCATGCGTGACATACCACAACGCTAACATGAGAATCAATAGAGTGGGGTCAATATAAATCTCTACCTGTCTATATTCAGTTGACAAGTTTCAGATAATTGGGTATCGGCGAATATAGTAATTAGGGACAGCTCAATTTACTGTAGACACATAAACTGCTGGTCAAAATAAAGTACACACCCATGTTTGATGGTGGCTAAAAATGAACAAACAAGAAATGGTTATTCGATGGTGATGTATTTGATACGGGTATCACAGTTGTTTTGGACCTTACGTTTCGGCGACTGTTTTCAGCCTTGTAAGGGGCGGTCGGGTAGCCTAGTGGTTAAAGCGTTCGCTCGTCACGCCGAAGACCCGGGTTCGATTCCCGACATGGGTACAATGTGTGAAGCCCATTTCTGGTGTCCCCCGCCGTGATATTGCTGGAATATTGCTAAAAGCGGCGTAAAACCATGCTCAGTCAGTCAGCCTTGTAAAGTTTTGATGACGTTCGTAATGTTAGGTCAAATTAAATGTTCAAGTGTGTACTTTCTTTTGCCCGGCAGTGTACATGCAAACGGAGACATGCATGTCAGCCAAGATGGGCATAGCTGAATTTTCGTAGAGAAGTTATGCTGCTTTGCACCCCAGTGAGTGAGTGTTGTGTAACGCCGCCGTCAGTTCTATCGCCATGAGCCGCACATGAAGCTAGACCAGGCACACAAATGACTGAAAACCAGAGCAGAGAGCCGCCAGCGGGTTACGATGACACCAAATCCCCATTTTAGTCTACCCTTGAAGATCCAGGTTCGAATAGGTCTTCAGCAACCAATGCTTTTCACGAGAGGCGACTGTGCTTGTCGTAAGTGGCGACTAACGGGATCGGGGTGGTCAGGCTCGCTGACTTTGTTGATGCATGTCATCGATTCCCAGTTGCGTGGATCGATGCTCATGATGTCAATCACTAGATTGTCTGGCCCAGACTCGATTATTTATTATGAAATAATGCTGAGTGCGGCGGTAAACAACAAACACACAAAAAATCGATAAGTGTTGTGTACTGGGAGCCTTTTCTGAACCGGAATGCTCAGCGATATGAAACAGCCATACAATTTTTCAAACATTTCTGGGGCGGTCGAGTAGCCCAGTGGTTAAAGCGTTCGCTCGTCACACCGAAGACCCGGGTTCGATTCCCGACATGGGTACAATGTGCGAAGCCCATATCTGGTGTCCCCCGACGTGATATTGCTGGAATATTCCTAAAAGCGGCGTAAAATCAAACTCACTCACTCACTCAAACATTTCTCTTTATTAACTTTGTATACAAAAATATAATCATTGAAAGGACGGTTTGTAATTTCATTGTTATGAATATGTAGTGCCATCTGACTGGTGCAAAATAAGTTATGACAGGAATTAGTTACCGGATATCTTGTAGACGTTTCATTGCATATAAATATTTTTCTTGTGAATCTATTGTTTCTCAATCCAAAAATTTGAAAAACATGCTTTTCGGCTTTTCGATATGTATACTGTATTGATTAATAGTTATCAGAACTTCAACTTAGTGTTTGCCTCCATGTTCTGCCAACAAGAGGTGTTTATAGATGTGACGTAATACATTGTATCATGACGTCATAACATCCAGACTGACGTCATGGCTGTCAGTGAGGTATAGAGGGGGTCCGGAAACTTACTGATAATATTTGTATTTCACAATTAAGATAATCATTATGTGTTTTCAGGTTTGTGGTAATTATTGATTGAACATTCGATTACCGGATCTTTTAACGTTTTCCGTGTATTGAATACTCAGTTACACTCGCAAACCTATAAAAAAACATAATGTTTATATCCTTCGTGTTTATAACAACAGTTATATAAGACTGACATAGGGCATCATATATGACATACTATGATTACAACATCGGTACATCATCCTCGCATTTACATTTTTCTGGAATATCTTTCACATTGAAACAAATAACGAAGGTCACTTTTTGCAAAATCAAAATAATGAAAATTAATATAGTTTCGCATGGATATAAAAAGGCAGGGAAATCATCAGTCACAATCGGAACTTAGACAACAACTGCTGTAGTCACCGCAACGACTTACTCACCGTATTGCTGGAGTGGCAGGCTGTAAAGAGAGGATTACAAGCGTTAAATCCCTCTCCGACAGGTGTCCAGATTTTCTTGACCGGACGCCCTTCTTTATCTGTCGGTTGTCCTCGCCGACGCACACTGACCACCAGAAGGTATTGTCAACATGGCTGGAATAACATCCACGCAACGCCCGAAACAATACTAAAGCTTCCGAAAACAATCATAGAAGTCGCACCAACTCCCACTCACTGTGTATCGTATTCGGGTACCTCCTCCAGATTGAGTGTTGAGATTACAGGGCATCAACAGACACGTCTCGCGTCTTAATGAACAGCAATTATTTCCTCTTAGAATCTCATTACACACACAAGCCAAACTGTCAGCTGTGTGTTCTTTCAATAAATGTTCCAGTGTAAATGTTATCCGTTCTGGTGTTCCTTGTTTAAAGACTTATAAAGACTTTGCGGTTGCCCTACACCTTCAGGAGCCCGGTCTTATACATTCTCCTGATTACGGTGTTCGTGAAACTCTGCAAAGTAGAGGCCGAACACTTCGCCAGCAGTTACAATGAGGGATGTATGTGCCGTGCGCGTAATGTGCCGCCACTGACGTCGTCACGAGATCAATGCTAGTGGTTACTATAAGCGACGTTGTGGTAGAGTGGAGGCAGCAGCCAGTCAGTCAACAGCACGACAAGCTCCAATACAGGGACTGGCTGATAGCTGGTGGAGAGCGGGGCATATAGTCGCTCCTACACACTACAGGGCCGCTAGATATAGCACTGTTGGTGGGCTGTGCAGGTAGAAGTTGTATCTATCAACACTTCAGCCTCTCTGGTGAAATCGTTGCATGTCCAACTGTATGAAAATATGGAGTTTGGTTTGTTATGCTTGTATTAATCACGTCATTGATTGGAAATCGGTTACATCTTCGTGCACTGAAGTGCATGTAATTACTACCAGAGTAGAACCGTTAGGCCATGTTGGAAACCTGCAACGCTCGGAGGTAGAAATAAAGGTGAAAATAGGTGCCTATAGGAACGTGATGGTTTGGGATTCGTGCAAATCAGTTTTCTGGTGTATTAATTAGCGAAACTTGTGCAAGTCGTGGGGCCCTGTAGGTTGTTTGGTTGGGAGGTTTGATTCCCCAGTTGTCAGATCTGAAGCAGGTGATATGTGCTAGTTATGTCTGCAGGCCAACATGCAATCTTCAAAAGTGTGCACATTCAAACATACTTAAAGGCAAACCTTGTAATCTATCATAAGGTGGACATGTACACACATAACAATATCCTTATTTTTTTCTTTAACGAGTGGACTTGTGTTTGATTTACACAAGGAGTCATTGGTTTCTAATGTTAAAAGAATTAAACAAATTCTTTTACAGATAATTACTTGTTATTTTCACGCCAATATATAAACAGCAGTTTGAAAGGGAAATGAACATATTGATGTGGCTTTCTGCATGCAACCCTACAGTGTCTTGACGGATGGTTTATTGTATAAAACGTTAAATTACTGACCAGTTTTTATAATTGTAATATTTCTTTTATCAATAAATTAGGATTGTTTTTCATAGTTAAATATCATAGTGTATCGTTCCTGTTGCCTTTGAGTATGTCAATGTGTATACTTATTTTCACAGAGTTTCCGTTTTCAAACAAGTGTTGAATGCGTTTATTAATACCTCTTCGTATAAACAAATATCAAATATCAAATATGATGGAAGATAAAGACATTCGACGTTATCACCTTACACATTTTCCTTAAAAAAAACCCCAGCGTACGTAAACAACTAGAAGCTTTATTCTGAGAGGGCGGCCAGAAAAGGAACGGTTCTTGTTCTTGTGTTGTTTGTGTGATTTAGTGAAGGAGTGGGCCCGTAGTGTTTGAGTGTGTGGATGATGGTGTGGGGGCTAGTTGGGAATGGGGAGGCAGGGATATATATAAGAGAAAGGGAAGTGCTAGGTGAGATGCAGTTTAACGTCGCTTTCAAAATTATAGCACTTATATTCCGACGTGCATGCCTTTTGTGTGCAGTTAATCATTGTGTGTGTGAGTGTGTTTGTGTGTGTGTGTGTGTGTTTGTGTGTGTGTGTGTGTTGTTTTGTTGTTGTTGTTTTTGTTTGTTTGTTTGTTTTGTGTGTGTGTGTGTGTGTGTGTGTGTGTGTGTGTGTGTGTGTGTGTGTGTGTGTGTGTGTGTGTGTGTGTGTGTGTGTGTGTGTTTGCGAGAATTCGGGAAGGAGTGGGGATGTAATGTGTGTGTGAGTGAGTGTGTGAGTGAGTGAGTGTGTGAGTGAGTGAGTGTGTGTGTGTGAGTGAGTGTGAGTGTGTGTGTGTGTGTGTGTGTGTGTGTGTGTGTGTGTGTGTGTGTGTGTGTGTGTGTGTGTGTGTGTGTGTGTGTGTGTGTGTGTGTAAAAGTCCGGACTATTGACGATTTCGTAGTGCTACCCACTGAGATACAATGCCGCAGTTTGACAATGAGGCACGGTGCACTGACTCAGAACCGACTAGTCTTTGTTTATACCCTTAATCAACTTCTTTTAACGTCTTTTGGTACCGGTATGACACTTCGGCTGTCCGGGCAGACGTTCTACCACTGGACCACGCAGGCGATCTGGAAGTGCTACAGAGTTCTCGGCTCCCTTTCATGTACAAGAACTTATTTGTATGATGAATCATAGTGTTTTTTCACGAATCGACGTTAAACATAAAGATTGAATATATGTCATACTTGTGCTCGAGAATACATGAACTGTACAGAGAAAAACAAACATTAGCAGAGAATAACCAGTCTCGCTATCCGACGTTATCCGTAATAGGAAAAATTGCGCTGAAAATTATGTAAATGTAAAAAATGATTCATGACACCAGGTGTTCGCGAAAATGCACCGCATCAAACACAATTTGCACAAAAATGTATGTGCTTTTTGCCTGACACCGCACAGAAGTTCTCCTGTCATGGGACAAAAATTTCAAGCTACATATGTCGCCGTGTTTACCGCTGGGCGCATGGGTCAGTCAACGGCCATCGAATACAGTGTTACTGATTTCGTCGATTACATCCATCGAGTTTGCGTCTCACTGCAGACAGAACCACGACAACGGCATCCATTGATGTGCGTAGGTCTCAAGCCAAGGATTGTCACTAATAAGATGGCGCACACCTTTAAATGCAACTATTAGAATGTAAGGTAATTTTTGGAAGCCAATCCAAGTGTCTCCAGAGGTGAGTTGAAATGTGGTTTGACATCGGGTTCAAGGTTATTTCACCTATATAGCTACGTGCATACACGTATGTAATGTATTAACAACAGTTAATTTGGAAAGGCATTGCCATTCAGAAGCTCATTTAACTTTCTGGAAATAAAAAATATCAGAAATTGTCTGTGTTTTAATGATTCAGAATATATCGAGGCAAATTGTTCATTCGGTCATGTCATTGAAGACGAAAAACATAATATGTTTCATTGTTTATTATATGAACTACGAACTCCTGACATATTTACATATTTGCAGTCATAAACTAAAACCTCTGGTAGATTATTCATCTAAGGGAAATATTTATATAATATTGTATACCTTTGTGGTGATATCAGATGCAAATGCGTATTTTCTAAAAAAAAGAACCATAATGATTGTTCGGATAATTGGGCAACAGATTGAATCTATGTGTGTGTGTGTGTGTGTGTGTGTGTGTGTGTGTGTGTGTGTGTGTGTGTGTGTGTGTGTGTGTGTCTGTGTCTGTGTGTGTGTGTGTGTGTGTGTGTGTGTGTCTGTCTGTCTGTCTGTGTGTGTGTGTGTCTGTGTCTGTGTCTGTGTGTGTCTGTGTGTGTGTGTCTGTGTGTGTGTCTGTGTGTGTGTGTTGTTTGTGAGATTTCGGGAAGGAGTGGGGATGTAATGTCTGTGTGTTTGTATGTGGTTGTTGGGGAAAGATAGGGATGGGGAGGCAAAGAGATATATAAGAGAAAGGGAAGGGCTACATGTACACGTAGGTGAGGTGAGGTGAGGTGAGGTGAGGTGAGATGGGGTTTAACGTAACGTTCAGGATTATTGTACTGATATACCGACGTGCATGCCTTTTGTGTGGAGTTAATCATTGATACCACAGGCAGAAACATTATACTGACTCCGACGCCTTTTTTCATCCCCTTAATGTCGAGCGACAGGCAAAATAACAACCACCTTTAATGTCTTTTGATAAACGCGGCCAGAGGATCGAACCCCCAAACTTCCGCTCTCCGGGCTGATGCTCTATCCAGTACACCATGTAGACGGTCGAAGTGTCAACAGAACTCATTAGGTGATAGATTTTGTTATTTATCACATTTACTTCATACATAAAATGCCTTATCAAAGGGTTTTTTCCTTCATCATGTAATTATTTATATCACCAGATTATACGGGTTCTAAGATTAGAAAATAATAACGGAATTAAACCGGGATTTATGTAATTAGACAAAGGACATTGTAGTTACGGAAAGTGCGCGTTAACCTGTGGAGGAGGAGAGCCAGCCGCCCTGCCTTTCATGAGCACATCCTTGTCAAATCTCTTGTAATGAATCTTTTTATCTGCGAGGAGTACACGCCAGAACTAGGGATGCGCTTATTCACATTTCATTAGTTCTTTGCACCCATCAATGTTGTCCACGTACATTATAGAATACAGACACGAACCTGACTCGTCTGTCTTGAGTGACGACAGTGGAAATGCATGACGGCCGATGGATGCTTCAAAACAGCGGTGGTACTTTAGCCTTGCAAATGTATCAAAAATGTTACTCTGAAAGGGATGCATATAATTGCAGATCAACGATTAGTGTTTGCATTAAAGCAGTTAGCGATCTATATATTTTTTTCGTATTCGAAAATCGTAAAAGGATTGTTGTATATTATTGCAATGTGCATTATCTATCTGGAAAGTGAATGCAGTTTGCATGTTCTATCTGCACAATGATTGCAATTTGCATTATCTATCTGCACAATTAAACATTGATTAAAACTGAATGGTGATTATCGTTCGTTGAATGCATTCATCGTTTATTCGTTCAGGCTTGAATAGTATGGAAAATATCTACAGTGACCACAATCCCCACAAACGTGATGTTTTCAGCAGCAGCTTTGACCCTCATACCATGTTGATATTCTGTCGTTTCTTTCTGTTTGTAGCATGGCAGTCATGCGACCTCCCACTGAAATCTATGGATACAATTATCTCATGAAGTCCAAAGTGTAGCCACAATGTATGCTAGAATTGTCGTGGATCGTGGGGTTATTTGAGTTCCAGTACTCGCTCGCATCAAGGTGTAATCAAATGGCGTTCAATGTTCGTGTCATCTTCTCTCAGTTTATCTTGTATATATTTGATATGGGACCCGGCAGTACTGCAGCCTAATGAATTGCTGTGCTGCGTGTCTTCCTTTAGTCGAAACAAGATCCCTTGTTCTTGGATTAGAACCACAGATTTAGTCAAGTATGTCCCTTGTTCTGTCAACAACATTTTGCATTTTGGTTTAATTATACTATACATCTACGGTCTCCCTGTCTATGGGCTTTCTTCCCATATTGAGCTGACACACCGTGAAATTACTGAATTACTGCTGCTCAGAGCTGCGTTTAAACCAACTTACACGTATTTCATGCTCACTACACACACATCGGTGTGTTAGTGAAAGATGATCTATTTATAAAAAAACACCCTTCAACCCATGCAACGAGATTAC